ATACATATGTTCCCATATCTCTTCCTACTTGTGTCTCCCTCCCTCCCACCCTCCCTATCCCACCCCTCCAGGCAGTCACAAAGCACCGAGCTGATCTCCCTGTGCTATGCACTGAACTCCCTGTACTATGCCGCTGCTTCCCACTAGCTACCTACCTTACGTTTGGTAGTGTATATATGTCCATGCCTCTCTCTCACTTTGTCACAGCTTACCCTTCCCCCTCCCCATATTCTCAAGTCCATTCTCTAGTAGGTCTGTGTCTTTATTCCTGTCTTACCCCTAGGCTCTTCATGACATTTTTTTTTCTTAAATTCCATATATATGTGTTAGCATACGGTATTTGTCTCTCTCTTTCTGACTTACTTCACTCTGTATGACAGACTCTAGGTCTATCCACCTCATTACAAATAGTTCAATTTCGTTTCTTTTTATGGCTGAGTAATATTCCATTGTATGTATGTGCCACATCTTCTTTATCCATTCATTCGATGATGGGCACTTAGGTTGTTTCCATCTCCGGGCTATTGTAAATAGAGCTGCAATGAACATTCTGGTACATGATTCTTTTTGAATTATGGTTTTCTCAGGGTATATGCCCAGTAGTGGGATTGCTGGGTCATATGGTAGTTCTATTTTTAGTTTTTTAAGGAACCTCCATACTGTTCTCCATAGTGGCTATATCAATTTACATTCCCACCAACAGTGCAAGAGGGTTCCCTTTTCTCCACACCCTCTCCAGCATTTATTGTTTCTAGATTTTTTGATGATGGCCATTCTGACTGGTGTGAGATGATATCTCATTGTAGTTTTGATTTGCATTTCTCTAATGATTAGTGATGTTGAGCATTTTTTCATGTGTTTGTTGGCAGTCCGTATATCTTCTTTAGAGAAATGTCTATTTAGGTCTTCTGCCCATTTTTGGATTGGGTTGTTTGTTTTTTTGTTATTAAGCTGCATGAGCTGCTTATAAATTTTGGAGATTAATCCTTTGTCAGTTGCTTCATTTGCAAATATTTTCTCCCATTCTGAGGGTTGTCTTTTGGTCTTGTTTATGGTTTCCTTTGCTGTGCAAAAGCTTTGCAGTTTCATTAGGTCCCATTTGTTTATTTTTGTTTTTATTTCCATGCCTCTAGGAGGTGGGTCAAAAAGGATCTTCCTGTGATTTATGTCATAGAGTGTCCTGCCTATGTCTTCCTCTAAGACAAACTTTTAAATAATACTTTTTCCATTATATATCTAATGTGCTTTCATTTCAGAGAAAAGTAGAAATATAGAAAAGAATAAATATGAAAGTTGCTTGCATTTTCTGATAGTAGTGCAATCCTGAAATCTATCAAATACCAAGTTCCTACTTACATTTGTGATGCTGACTCCTATCTATGAATGAAAATGACCTCATTTATTTGCAAAAAAATCTTTGACTAAAAAAATAAAACAATTCTGCAATAAACATATCAGTATATATATTTCTACACACTTGCATGAGAACCTCTGTTAGATAAAATCAAAAAAGTGGAATTGCCGGGTCAAAGGATATTCACACATTAAAGTTTGATTTCTCTGATTATATTAACATTCGAATATAGAAGAGTTATCTATTTCCCCACCCTCATCAACACTGAGTGTTAAGACAAGAACTTCAGTATTCCATCCCCCAAATACCTCTTGTTGACTAGAAACTTTTCCGTTTCTCCCTTTCTCATGGTTGCTATACATGCTTTATAAATTCATTTCGTTTGGTGACAAAAAATATGTACACAAAACAGATTTCCTATCCTCTGCTTAGCCCTCCATGTGAATGCTTGATGTTGACTCTGCTTAGCCCTCCATGTGAAAGCTTGATATATCATAATATTGTATATTTGCCACCACGTGATCTGAATTCAAAATCTGAATCTGCCATTTAAAAGCCGTGAGACTGAAAACTTAACTTTTTTGCTTCAGTTTCCTCATCTGTAAAATGAGGATAATAAGAGGACCTACATTACAAAGTCATTGGGAAGATCAAATAAAATACAGGTAAAGCAACTGAAATAACACCTATCACAAAGGTTCAATAAATGTTAGAATTTTTAAAAGCCAAGTTCAATAAACATGGGCTCTATATAACTGAACACAGTATTCTACACAAACAAACACACACACACACACACACACACACACACACACACACACACACACAGTGACAGGTCTAGCACCTGGCATAACAATAAATTTTATAGTGCTTTATAGCCCACGCAGCATATAATCTATTATTAATGACCTAAGGCACTGTGCAAGAAGCATGCTGTCTCTCCCCTTCACCCCAAAAAGTGTTCCAAAGGAATTCTCATGTTCAAATCCTATCTATCCTAACAAGATAGATATAAACAAATCCTCAACAAGAGCTGAATCATTAACTCTACCCAGAAAAGTCCTGGTCCTATTCATTCTCTTCCAATGAAATCAGAAGGTAGGAAGAGTTGCCTCCCTGCCACTTTGGGAAGCTTGTAGCACCCAGTTAGTATTATAGCTCACAAACTACAAAGGACCTCAGGAATGCCTCAGTCAGGTTTTCTCCTCTGTTCCATACAGCACCAAGGAAATTCTGGGCACTTAATAATGCCCCTAAGAATAAAAAGCCAGTATTCATCAAATTACCCCTCTTTGCTGCCAAAGAACAATGGGACTTCAGTAATTTTCTCCTGTTAAAGCACAGATAAATAGGGCATGACTTCAACGTTAGCAAAATGTCAAGATCACTCCAATGTGCACTTGTTCTACATCAGCATGAGGGCTGGTTAGCACAGCTTTGTGCTTTGGCTGGGGACTGCCCCTAAATCCATTCAGCTGTTTGAAAATGAGAGCCATAAATGAGAAAATATGCCTCCACACTACTCCCTCTCAGCTTGGAGAACAAAAAAATTAAAAAAAACAAATGCTTCAAATGTCTATATCTCTTCCTCATAATTCAAAATAATTGCCACCAGGTAAACTCCTTAAGTTTACAAGCTGGGGAACCTTGTCTTATTTATCAAGCAGTTAGCAAGCTCCCTAATTGAGAATATACTCAGGAAATGTGTGCAACATGACTGAATGATTGTATATTCTATGTAATTTCTATGTTCAACAAAGGGGTGTCTTGATAATTACATTTCAATATACTCTCTCAGTCCTTATGAAACATGAAAAATACTTCACTAGTTTTTCCATTCCAAGCAATCTGTTAAAGGAAACCAACATTACTTATAAACAGATTCCAAGCTATCAGGAGGGTAAATTAAAAATATACTTGCGTGTTTTGGATACATTTTTAAAACCATTTGTCAGATTCTTGTTCTGGCAAGAGTCTTATGACTGGCCACATAACTTCTTGAGCTTAAAATGAATCTTTATATTCTAGCTTCTTCCAATTAAATGATAAATGCATATGGCTCTTCAGCATTTATTAGTTACCTATATCTTTAAAACAATTTTCTTATTTCTTGAAATACCCCTATTTTTAGGTTAAATACTATTCCCACATTATCTGGCCTGATTATCTTTTCTAACACAGGACGTAAGTCACACAGAACATACTAACTCTAGCCAATCTAAACACAGTGTCCCCATTGTTACATACTTTCTTGAATTTGATTATTTTCTAGTTATCAACATACAATAGAATTTTTCTATAACAACAGAAATCTAATATTCTGTTGTAGTTGCTGTATCATAATTCATTTAACTAATTCCCTACTAATGGACATTTACTTTCAATTTTATACTACTAAAGGCAATTCTGAAACAAAAATAAACACAGTGTCCCCAAAAAAACCTAAATAAAGCAATGATATGATGTTAACTACTGAGGAAGATCAAGTTATCTCTGAAAAGATTTGGAGAAAGGTGATTCTGGTATCTTTGTGATATACTTCCTGCCTTAGAAGATCTCTGTGTCCATTTCTGAAAAGAGAAGTATAAGAATACACAAAGGTCCGGGGAGTTGGGGCATGTGTGTTTGTGTTACAAAGACCAAACTGGAGCTTCAGGAAGTCTCCAAACATGTCTGAGCCCAAAAAAGACAGACTTAGATACAATACCGACATTCACGGCTAAAGAAGAGGGGCCAATTTTTTTTTAAATAAACAGTTAATACATTTTATTTCCATATATAAACAGTTTTTAAGACAATAATAACTAGTGAGGAGTTGAATAAAAGAAGTAAAGATAGTGAACAACAGTTGAAGGAATTCCTTTAACGTTAGAGGATAAAAACACTGCATCCTGGACACAGGCTGTTCCCTGCACACACCCATGCTTACCTGTTCCCTTTATCTGAAACATGCCCCCCAGTCTCTCGAAGGCTGAGTAAATGCCAACTCCTTCTGAAGTGTTTGAGTTCAGAAAGAGCTCAATTGTATCTATGCTTAAATCTTACCACTACCGGATCAAAAAGACCACCACCATTCTCCCAAAACTACAAACCAGGGACTGGATTTCACTTTTACATCCCATCATTACACAGATCAGATACAAGTGAGCGAGTAATAAAGAATATAAAGTTTTCATCCCAGAGGACCTCAAAAATAAATAAATAAATCAAAAGCCTCGTATCCTACAAGGTCAAGAGACAAGTGCCGGGAACCAGATCTAGAACCAGGTTTTAGTTCTTGGACTCCAATGACTATATTATTTTCTGGGAATCTGGAGAAGACCAGCATTTCCCAAAATGGTATCTGCTGGACACTGTTCTGCAAGATGCTAATACATACTTAAATAAACTGGAAAAGTCTGGACTAAAACAAAGCTAACATGGTTACTTTACTACAGAACATGTGCAGGGCTTTAAAATGCTAGTATACACTATAAATTTCCAAGATAAGATTACATAATGAAGCCTTTAGTGAACTAATTTGAGCAAGATTGTTGGGGAGAGTTTGAAAAATGCTTCAAAAAGGTTGTTTTAGTTTGTTTGTTTCTTTTTCCCAATTCTCACAATATTACTGAGTACTTCAGATCAACTTCTAAAAAGTTCTTACCTGATATGTGTTGCAGGCAGAGATTCGTATTGGCGAGACAAAAAGAGCTCCCTATGTTTCAACTGATGTTTCTGTTTATCCGTCAAGTCAGCCTCAATTGTTGTTTCAGATTCTTCCTCAATTTCTTCTACACAAATAAAATTCAAAAAAGGCATTATTACAAAGTACATTACCTATTTGGTTATTAAGATAGACTTAATCAGCCTTTCTTTCATTCAATATTTTTTTCAAACGAACTGATTTTAAATTTACACATTTAACTTGTCATTTGAATTACAACCATAAAATTAAGTTACCCAGGCCTCAAAGGAAGAACTCCAATTTTAAGATGGCAGATGGAACATATGCATCTATCTCCTCTTCCCCCATGAAACTACACCAAAATATCAATGAAAATGTATTAACAGTTCAATGACAATAAAAAATGAAGCAACAGGGCTTCCCTGGTGGCGCAGTGGTTGAAAGTCCGCCTGCCGATGCAGGGGACACGGGTTTGTGCCCCGGTCTGGGAGGATCCCACATGCCGTGGAGCGGCTGGGCCCGTGAGCCGTGGCTGTTAAGTCTGCGCATCCGGAGCCTGTGCTCCGCAACGGGAGAGGCCACAACAGTGAGAGGCCTGTGTACCGCAAAAAAAAAAAAAGCAACAATGGAAGAAAGATTTTCAACAACAACAACAAAAGATGGAAAATAGATTAAAAAAAAGGAAAAGTACACACTTAGTCAAGAGAAGGAAGTGAAAATCTATGTGCGTACAGAGAGGGATGCCACGGAGAAGGTGGGCACAGGGCGAGTACTGACGTATCCCTTGAAGCTACCAAGTATTATGAGAAAGAAAGTAGGGTGAGAGCAAAAAAGCAGGAGAAACGGGTTGAAAGTCTATCTATAACACAATAACTTAATCCCAGAATACTCCAGTTAAAAAGAGTACAATCAGAAACAAATAGTATAACACATTTCAAATTTGATAACACAAATAAAAAACTAATAGAAGGATTAGAGGATAATGTTAATGAAATCTCCTAGAAATTAAAACAAAAGATAACTGAAAACCAAAAGATTAAAATAGTAAAGAAGAATGCATGATGTCCAACATCCCACTAACAAAAGTTCCATAAAGCAACAACAGAGATAACAGATTCTTTTACCTCTTTGTTTGTTTATTTCGGTGGGGGTGGGGGTGGGGGGGATGAGGGAAGACCTATCAAAGAGATGATTCAAGAAAATTTCCCCTTACTAAGTGTCCAGTGAGACTGAGTGTCCTGATTGAATTCGTGTCATACTTAACTTTTTTTTTTAAGTGACAGCATGAGAAGATTGCAACCATTTACAGGAAAGAAGTGTAGGCACAAGCAAAGAAACCAGAATCCGAGTGGAATCACAGATGAACAGCAACATTCTGTGCTAAGACAGCACAGCAATGCCATCCAAGAGGAAAAATGACATTCAACCTAGAATTGCATAGTCAACTATCAAGTCTTAAAAGAGAATAAGGACAAACTTTTTGCATTCATTCAACCAAGATTTACAGTTCACCCTTGAACAATGTGAGTTTGAACTGCACGGGTCCACTTATATGTGAATTTTTTCAATAAATACAGTACATTGGAAAATTTTTTAGAGGTTTGCAACAATTTGAAAAACTTCACAAATGCGGATTTCCCTGCCAGTCCAGTAGTTAAGACTCCGTGCTTCCAATGGAGGGGGCGCAAGTTCGAACTCTGGTCAGGGAACTGAGATCCCACATACTACACAGCTCCCCCCCAAAAAAAAAAAAAAAAAAAAGAAAGGAAAAGAATTCACAGATGAACCACGTAGCTTAGAAATATCAAAAAAATTAAGAAAAAGGTATGTTGGGACTTCCCTGGTGGCACAGTGGTTAAGAATCCGCCTGCCAATGCAGGGGACATGGGTTCAATCTCTGGTCTGGGAAGATCCCACATGCCGCAGAGCAACTAAGCCTGTGCACCACAACTACTGAGCCTGTGCTCTAGAGCCCGCGAGCCACAACTACTGAAGCCCACACGCCTAGAACCCATGCTCCGCAACAAGAGAAGCCTCCACAATGAGAAGCCCGCACACCGCAAGGAAGAGTAGTCCCTGCTTGCCACAAGTAGAGAAAGCCCACGCGCAGCAACGAAGACCTAACGCAGCCAAAAATAAATAAATAAAATAAATTTATTTAAAAAGGGATTTTTCACTTAAATGTTTATTTAAAAAAAGGTATGTCATGAATTCATAAAACATGTGGATAGTAGTCTATCCTTATATAGGCATAAGGTGAATGATATTTAATAAAAACTACTGTGTTAGTTTTCTTACTGTTTTATAATTTTCCTTTCAAAGAATTACATTACCATACATTATATTAAATTGCCTCTCTCTCTAGTAACTGGAAAAACTGCTTATCAGCATATTATCACAGGTAGGTGGGTTTTTTTAAAAAATTGTATCAATGTTTCCAATAGTGTACTATGAATATAACTGTAATACTCTATGCCATAAAACTTTTTAAATGATTCATTCATTATCGTACAGGCTAGGCTACTGTGAAGCAATCATATCAATTACACTAGGCTACCATAAAGAATCATATTGCTGGGCTTCCTTGGTGGCGCAGTGGTTAAGAATCCGCCTGCCAATGGAGGGGACACGGGTTCGAGCCCTGGTCTGGGAAGATCCCACATGCTGCGGAGCAACTAAGCCTGTGCGCCACAACTACTGAGCCTGCGCTCTAGAGCCTGAGAGCCACAACTACCGAGCCCACGTGCCACAACTACTGAAGCCTGCGTGCCAGAGCCCATGCTCCGCAACAAGAGAAGCCACTCCAATGAGAAGCCCGCGCACCACAACAGAGATAGCCCCCACTCGCCGAAACTAGAGAACGCCCGCGTGCAACAACAAAGACCCAACAGAGCCAAAAATAAATAAATTTATTTATTTATTTTTTTTAAAAAAAGAATCATACTGCTGATTCTTCATTATCAATGAAGATCACTATAGCACGGATCACTATACCTGTAAATAAATATGAACTTCTTTTCACATTTTTTTTTCCTTTTTAATGTCTAGTGTTAGTAACACACATAACATCTACAGTGTTTTGTATTGTATAAGACAATACTGATGTAGGTACTGACAGACAATTCACCTTATAATTAGATTTATGGTATCAATAAATACAGCATAGTACTGTAAGTATATTTTCTCTTCCTTGTGATTTTCCTAACATTTTCTTTTTTCTGGCTTACTTTAAGAATACAGTATATATTCTGTATGACATACAAAATATGTGTTAATCAACTGTTTATGTTACGTATAAGGCTTCCAGTCAACAGTAGGCTATCAGTTAAGTTTTGGGGGGAGTCAAAAGTTTTATGAAGATTTTCAACTGTGCAGGGGGTTGGTGTCCCTAACTCCTGCATTACTCAAGGGTCAACTGTATTAGGCACCAAAAACAGGCACTAATCAAGGTGCTGGAGGCAATCGGTGAGCAAAAAAGTTGCTACTATGAAGAAATTATTCAAAGTGTTTGCCTCTGGGAAACAGAGTTGGAAGAAAAGGATGGAAAGGGAAGACAAAGTTTTGCCTGAGATTTTTTTTTAATGCTGTATTTAATATTCTTTTTAAAGAAAAAAATTACTAGATGTCATTTACAGATATAATTCCAAATAATTTTAGATATAAAGTTTTTAAAAATATAATACCTGTAGAGGCTCACAGATCCTCTGCAGCCTTACCTGGACCGGACCAGAAGAGACTGTGTAGCTATGGGAATAGCAGGAGTACTGAGAACTCAGAGTCAGGGAGGGGGTGACTGGATTCTCACACAAGAAGTAAAGCCCAAGGTTAGGCCTCAGAGCCTTCATTTCTGGACAGTGACAAAACACACACACACACGCACACAGCAACACATTTCTGTTCCTCACAATTCTCTCTTATAAATTTCTTACGTACGGACCCAGGACCACAAGAGATTTTATCATATGTGACCCCCTAGTTGTAGTTCTTCTGAGTTGTATGAGGGCAATTAATAGGCTAAGTATCAAATCTTTTCTACCTTCAAACTTTTAAAACTCTGAATTGAAAATGGACCTGTAAAAATTAGAAACTGATTTAGAAAAACATGCATCTAGCTCCAAAACAGAATAATGTGATTTAAAATTCTTTGATTGTTCTTTATAATGAACTACTCAAAGAGAAATGAAGCAATAAAAGAGCCATTTACTTGCAAGTCTAATAACATCTCACCAGTGGAAATCAATGAAGTTACTGCTGCATTGGCACTATCAGCACCAGCAAATATCACATACAAAATTATACTCTTTACCTAATTAGGATTTGATAAATTGTTGTTCCATAAAACACAGCTAACTGAATTCTAACGTGTACCCTATAGAGCTAAAACAGCAACAAGCTCTAAAAATAATGGTAACAACAGCAAATCTTATTTTCTTGTACAATCTCTTGATACTGGGTGAAAAGGAATAAAATCTCTCAAGTTCAATCTAACCAAACACAGAAATCACCACAATAGCATCTGAAACTCATTTTTTCACATTTACAAGTTAATTTCATTTACATATTTGTATAAATTTCTACTGGCTTCTGAACAAGAAATGATTCCCATGCCATTAACATCCTAAAAACATTAAACAACCGCAATGGCAAGAACTGGCATTTAGACAATGAAAAATTTAAAAGAATAGAACTATCATCAAAAATAACAGGGCTTCCCTGGTGGCACAGTGGTTAAGAATCTGCCTGCCAATGCAGTGGACATAGGTTCAAGCCCTGATTAGGGAAGATCCTACATGCCGCAGAGCAGCTAAGCCCGTGCGCCACAACTACTGAGCCTGCGCTCTAGAGCCCGCATGCCACAACTAGTGAGCCAGCGTGCCACAACTACTGAAGCCCGCACACCTAGAGCCTGTGCTCCGCAACAAGAGAAGCCACCACAATGAGTAGCCCCCTCACCACAACTAGAGACAGCCCACGTGCAGCAACGAAGACCCAACACCACCAAAAATAAAAATAAAAATAATTTTTTTAATAAAATAAAATTAAAAGGGCTTCCTTGGTGGCGCAGTGGTTGAGAATCTGCCTGCTAATGCAGAGGACATGGGTTCG